TTGATTTAAATCATATATAACAGGAATTTACACATCACTTTCGTCAGATAAGATTGTTCGGTTTATGTGGTCTTAATTTGCCTTAGGGAAAAGAGAAACAAATGATCATCATGGCCAATATGTATACAATATATATACAAGTATGTGTATGTGGTTTTGTTTTTAAGTAATCTAAAGACTTTAGTGCAGCGTCTCAGAATTTTGACTGAATGAGGGTAAAAAGACTGAACCATCATATCCTCATCAATGAATAATTATGAGAGAAAATGCTAGGAGTTTTGGTGAGAAGTCATGACTAGTAAAGCTCAGCCATGTCAGGACTGTGACAGATATCATCATTGGTAATAAACAATGGTCTTACAATATCGTGAGCTGAGTTTATGAATCTGATCTATTAGATACAAACTCAGTGCTCCAGAGGTGGAGTACTTGGCGCGAAACCTGGAATTCCCAGATTTGACTTCCTGTGCAAAGACACTGTCGAGAAGTCTCTCATTGGGACAAAATAGTTACACAACTCTTCTTGATTTTCAATTTTCATCTAGCTAAAACTGGTCCACCATGGAAACCATAACTTAGACAACTCTCGCAATCTTTCTAGACAAAAATAAATATGATTTAATATCATTTAGCACATTGGTGATTACATATACATAGTGATCATTTGTAAAATTATTACTTCTTCATTCCGAAGAATCTCATACTTAAATAAAATTTCAGGCTATTCTAGATGTTTTAAACTATAAGTACGATATTATCTGCTTGTGATTTATGTCACGTGAGCGGATTTGCTTCTCTAAGTGTTTGAATCCACAAAACAACTGCTTTGAATTTAATAGGGATTTTCAACATTTTTTAGAATCTTTAATCTGTGGAGTTAACAATATTTTTAACTTAATTCCGACCAAACGTAATGCCATTTGGTATATGAAATTTAAATCCAAGTGATAAGGCTTCTGTGTTTGTAAAGATTTCCATTTTCGTGTTCAGGACTTCAGTCAATCAGTTTTTATTTGCAGTTATACATCCTAACTGTATTGTTTTCATATCACTATTTAGTGACAAGTTTTTATTAGATTTGGGTAGTTGTTAGCAGCGAAATACAGGAAGCTCGTTTCCTCATATTAAAGAATCGCCAACTAGATGTGCCTGCTTTTTAGTGTTACCTTTCACAATAAAACCTAAGCCTACTATCTATTGGTCCAATGAGTCACTAACCCTAGATGCCCACATACCAATTGAGTTCAATCCGTGTCGGGTAGAGACAGGTATCTAATTCAGACAGTGGATGAATGGTTGCGCAAGATCATGGATCGATTGAAGTTTGACATTAACGCCGTTGGATGCTGACTTAATGGTCTAGAGGTAAAGCGTTTGCGCGTGATATCGAGGGTCGTGGCTTTGAGTCCCACATACGGGATCGTGGATACACAGTACCGAAGAGTCTCATACTTAGACGAAACGGCTGTTCATTGCTTCCAGGTTTTCAATGGTGGTCTAGTTCACATCAACTCATGAATCCAACTATTAAAACTGCTTCCATCTCCACAAACCCCCATTCTGATCAAAATCTTAAATCCTCAATAAATAACTAGTTTTTCTTTGAACCAGTGAACTACAATAATTTCATCTTAACCTATGGATTCCTGATTAATTAATTTGTGAATTGATTAAACACATGGCAAATCGAAACAACTTTATATTATTCAAACTGAATCATTTTTGATTCATTCTATAAAAGAAAATATATAAATTAATAAATATGATAAGAATTATTCATCATTCTCTTTCATTGATTTGATAAGGAAAACTAATTATAACCAGATAATATTGGGAATGTTCATAATAAGAAGGCATGTAGTCACAATGACCTGGTATACATTAATTTATCAAAATAATTCTTTTTTTTTTCTAATTTAATCACGTGCGTATAGTTAAGTTTGTTTTGAAAAAAAGCACTGACAAAAACACGTGTTCACATGTTTCATTAGACAGGTTAAAAAATTAATTGAATGCATAATACACGATCTACGATCTAATTTTCTGTGAAAACAAACCATATTTATAATAATAGCATAGGGATTTGTTAAGACTGTTGAATTTTATAATTTATATCACTGACTGGCCTTAGTTACAACAATCAATGAAAATCAAGAAACACTGGAAAACTATTTCATCCTCATATAGGATTATTGAGCAGTGAATATCCAGGACACATAGAGAAGAACAAACTGAGAACCTTATGATTTCATAGTAAGTTTTTAACCTTCAGACCACTGCATCAATATTCCATAGTTTAGATTTATAATTCCTATAGTTTCGTGATGTAGCTCAACTATCTTCCAATATAATTGTAGGACAACTGAATAATAATGTCAATAATATGAGCTAAATGAAGGTGTTTTTTATTTCGTTGTGTTAAAAGGTTTTGAAAGACTTCTATGAATAATTAGGATTTTAAACCCTACCTGAACTTAAAGAGTATTTAATAACACCATTAATATTTTCACACAATGTTTCATTCTAGAATGTTGTAAGAAGTGCTTTTTTTAAAATAAAATATTTATCAGTAGTAAATAAGGAAGACTGACAGTTTGTGAGATAAAAATGTATACTAATCAGTAGTCTAAATTGTAAAAAAATATGGAATGGAAGTTATCAATCTATTTTAACAGAAAATAATCCTTCAAAAAGAAACAGTTCACTAAATACTCAGAATTATCTTTACTTGATTAGTTTTCCCAAGACAGAGTCGGATGGAGAATGCCGATGAGCGTCCTATGCTCCTCTATGAGGGATAACAGGTGTTAGTAAGTGAATACGTAAGATTAGCTTTAATGAATTTCACTAAAATATTTATTCTATTTCTTAGCACGTTACCATTTACATGAGATGCTTCTCTCATTCGCTCAATGGTGAAGTGACCAATTTTACTCTTGCCTACTTCTTGGTGTTAAATGCGTTACTCTTTTTTATTAACATCATATATATTGGTCTGAGTACAATACCTAAGAGAGAGAGAGCTCAGTATCATTGTTGTTAAATTCTGTCTTTTCGGGCCATTTTTTACCATCTATAAGGTTCTATTCCTTCTAAATAAATAGTTTGTCTATTTATGAGTTTGATAGCTTGAGAACAGTGGATAATATATACATATAACCGAGTGAGGGAAAATAATTTTACATAACTGGAGAGAGTAAACTATCTATTTTCCTATTACCCTCCCTTTGATGTCAGCTGTGGTTTTTTTCCTCTACTTTCATTTTGATAAGTCTTAGATATCAAGAACGTTTGTTATCCAACTAATATTCGTCATTACAATTAACAACCATCCATTCTTTTCGGATAAATTTGACAGTAGCAGTATTTTATCATTTATTCTAAGAGAAAAAGCAATTATGGGAACTAGTTATCTTTAAATTAAAAATAGCTCCTTGTTTATCGATTAACTGATTTTTTCTTCTATAAAGTGCATTTAGGACAGACTTTCCATTCCTAAATTAAATTGTTTAGTAGAAAAACTTGTGTAAATCAATAAGTAATATATTACTTATAGGCGAAAAAGTACTTATTCGTCTACCATAATTTTTTTTAATGCTGTTGTCAGAATCAGGAGTTAACCACACTTGAACAGACATATTGGGCGAACAGCGAGAAAATGTTCCAGAGCATTTCGTTTAGATTTGTACGTGTTTATATGTGAAGAGAGAGACACAGAGCAGTAGCACTTATGCACATTTATTGTTTATTCACTTCTGGGAATATATTTCTCAACGAAATATACCAATTCTTTCTCTCGATTATATATTCCTATTGGTTTTAACAGAAATATGTTGTTCTTTATATGTGTTTAAGAATTGTATGTGTGTGTTATTAGATATTTTTCTCTCATATTGTCACCCCCTTCGGCTTCATTCTGTATCTATTATTTATGTAAATGCGACACAATACATGGTAGCGCTAGAGGTAACGAATCATGAAATAGGTACCGATATATTTACTTCTTTCTGATTGGTTAATTTATTTACTAGTTTAACTAAAATCCGTTATAGAAGTAGTCGTTTATTAACAGTGACACCAATGAAAGTTTGTTCGGTATCATATTCCTCATTCCCTTGCTTAACATTCCCTATTTCCTGATTTCCCACTAGAAGGATTATTTGTATGAGTGTTTCATAGATGTTTGTTATTCTATGAATATTTTTTGATTTTATAAACGCCGCATATTTTAGTATACAAAATGAATGAATACTTTTTTATTTATCTACACTTATAGCAACCTGAGGACGATCATTTTGGTAGGTAGTTTACGGTTGTGTCATTGGATTATTTTTGTTCAACATGAAAACTAACCTGGAGGACTGAATTTACTCATCAGTTCCTCCTAGTGGTCCAATCATAATCAAGGACACGTGAACAGCTAAATTACCCGTTTTCTCACACAAAAGCGAACAGACCCATATGCATGCATATACATACACTGTACATAATATGTACACCCCTTGCAAATCAAAATCCCACCACTCAAATATTCTAACTAGTGAATTTGACAGAGATAGGTTATAATATCCAGTGGAAGAATACAAATATTTCCCCATCAAAAAATTCTTAACCGAAAAATATAGAAAGTTAGTCAGTTATTTATTTATTGAGTGGGTGGAAATACATCATTGTTATTAACACGTTTCATGTTATTTCATCTTTGATCATTACCAACCATCATCGTAGCCATTCGTCTTGTAACAACGTGTAGTAACTCATTTGGGATACTTTTTTATGAAAAAATACAACTATCATCAATCATTTTTCACAGACGATTATTTAAACTTGTCAAAATGATATTTACGTATTTCCTATTTCCTTCCTTTAAATAGAAAGATAATTTATCATTCTGTATACATAAATACATACAAATACACACGTACACATAAATACATATATACACCTACTGATTGTAGACAGACAAACATATGAAGGTAGTAACGATATTCAGTCTTATTATATCTTTTTGTTTTAATGAAGAAAAAAGCGACTTATACTTTCTTGTCTAGATAGATTATTCTTCAACGTTTTGACATGAGTTCATTGTTACACTGACATATTGTTATAATATTGTAAGAATTCATGTGGATCATTTTCAGTTAAATTATAAACTTTATATGTATGTATATATTTCTATAAATAATGTCCATCATCATTATTGATTTTTGTTTACGTTACAATAATTTCTAAAATTACCAATGTTTTTATATCATGAGTTCGAGGTAGTTTGTTAGAAATTTAATAATAAGATTATTGTCATCACTACCATACTACTCTCAATTGTTAGCAAGTGACATTAAATATCTATCAATAGTTTCATCAAACAAATACCAAAAAAAATATTTAATAATGAACAATAGTTGGAATATTGAAATTCGAACACAAATTTAAACGACACAATATTATTTACAATTTGGTATTTGGAATTTTTGTTATTATTCAAAAGTTATTCAATTAAACTAATTCAAAATGTGTTTATTATATTTATGGTAGTTTTGTACATATGAATATTTTGTCATTAATTTGAAAACAAGAAAAAAAGAGACTAAACATCGAAAGTTTATCTTTACATTATGATTCAAAGGATTATCATGATTCTGTTATTTTTCTATATCATTAAGGATATTATTTAGTGATTTAAAGAACATTGCATAGAACTGAGTACTACCAGGTAAGATATATTAACTGATTTTATCATTATTACTATTACTATTATTATTAGCATTTTTTTAATGCACAGAGTGAATAACTGATCATTTTAAGAAAGAAGGTAGTATGAATGAATTTTCTCAAAACTATGCATATCCATAATTTTGATTAGTGTATTTCCACTTTCTAATAAGTAATGACATAAATTGTTATGCATTTTGCAGTACGACACCTGATAAGAATTATGATGTTTCAAAAACCTATATGTATCTATATTATATACATGCATACAAACACATCTTATTAAACATGATGGTTAATATTATAATTTCATCAATATGTAGCCGATGTATTAGTTTTAACTCACATTCACAAAATAATATTTTTCATGACATTTTATTTGCTAATGAAATAAATAGACTATCATTGATTAAAATAAGTTAGTAACTATATTAGATTTTATAGGGTTATGTAAGTAATTTTCTTACATTTAACAGTTGAAAAATTTGAAACTTTTCAGTTGATAAGCTCTTAGTTGATCTTTTTCTTAAATATATCTCTGTGTATGTGTAAATCTGGATATAAAATGTCTGTAACTCATTACTGAATTAAAATGTTTCATGACTAAAATGATACCGTTTCAACTTTCATTTATTAATAAACATATTTTTTGTTATATCTCAATGAGTAGAAAAAATATATTTCTGACGTTTTGTAATTTAATGTGAACTACTTTTTCAGAGTAAACAACTGCTGATTGTTTTATTTATATTATTATTATTACTACTACTACTACTACTACTAATAATAATAATAATAATAATAGTAATCTTTTCTAATGTTATATGGTTAACGTAGAGTGGAATGATTTATATAAAAAATATATTTAAATACATTCCTTCCAACCAAATAATTGGGGATATTTTAATTTACGAAAAATACAAAAATAGGGATCCATAACAACACTAAATAACATGTATACATGTTCAAGAACAGAACATTTTATCAATTGATTTTAACTATTATAATCTATTTTATTACACAGTATAAATGTGTACAAGATACAAGATATTGGTGAAGCTTCTATATATTTCTATTTGTTAACATGAAATCTAACTTGTCTCATTCTATCAAAATAACGATAAGGTGAACAATATGAATAAAATAAGTGGTTTATATGTAGGATAACATTGCATTTATCTTATATTTGTAGAGGTTTTAAATGTTTATTTTGATTAACTTACTTCGGTTAATAACCTAATTTGATTGTTATCCCTAACCAGCTTATGTTAGATAATCGCTAAAAATCAAGAAGTATTGAAAAACGGTTCCTCTCTAGTAGGAGACTTTTGAGGGACCCAACTAAGGATAGAAATGTGTCGAGTTTGAGGCAGTTATTTATCAAACACAATGAAATGTAATTGCTCAGTATTACAAATTGTTTGAGGTTATACATGAAAAACACTGGTCGTCAAGTCAGTGGTCTAAAAGCCAAGCTCTTGTTTTGAGACCTTGAGGTCCTGAGTTTGATGTCCGGTAGAGCTGCGGTGTGTTCTGTTGATGAGTACCATATGATGGAACAGTTACTAATTGTTCCCTATCTTTCAGTGGTTATCTAACATATATTAGCTCATGATCCTAATAATATTCAGCAGTCTCCAAAAGCTTTCATACTGATGATGAGTTTATTCGAATGAGAAATTGCAACAAAAAACTGTAGTGTAAAACAACCTCATTTTACGAACCATTTTTTATTGTTTTAAGAAATAATGTATTATTGTAAAATCTCGTTTCTTTGAGCTGATCTGTGGAATAACTAATATTCAAGTTTTTCTTATCTTAACATTAATTAGCAAAAAACATCTTTACAATGTTTAACAAACGCTTTAGTTTAACTGATGTTGACATTGTCCTATATATGGGTAGAATGTTAACGATTTTCTAATTATTTCGAACTGAAAGGTATACAACGTAGAAATAAAACTCAACAACCGAATACAAACTTCATATATATTGAGCAACAATATATTTATGTGAATTAGTTGAGAGGTAATAAATTTAATATCCTACTGATTTTAAATTTAAGTACTTAAAGGATTCGAAATAGTATTCTATAGGATAGAATCAAACAGGTTTATTAAAATATTGTTTGGTATATTCTTTCAAAAAAAGAGTATAAATGAAAATAAAGTATTGGGTGAATCTTCAACGAATTATTCATAATTTCTTTGACGTTTCTATGAAAAATCGAGATGTACTGTTTGACACCCATCGGAATACATAATTTTATTAGTGATTTGCGTAAATTATGAAATTTCGGAAAAAAACGGTTACAGATCCAGAAAGACAGCTTTACTAACAGTCATTCTACTAGATTTCAATTAATAATTAGGCATTAATCCTCATTTCTAAGTATTATTTTTAAATCCTGTTGCATTTCATATGGATATTATGTGGATTAGTTTGTTTTCTATTGAAGCGTAAAAAATGATCACCGAAAATTGAGTCATATTTGTTTCTAGAATACTATTATGTTGACATGTTTGTACAGTTAGTGGTATCCGATTGTTAAACTTTAAACATTCAATCACATCTTTTCAATTTAATGTCAGATTGTCAGCGGTTAATTAGCCAATCTACAACTTGTAGAATATCTGCAGCCATTAAAATTGATATATCGTATCATAACAGTGTGATGAAAATAACTAAAGAAACTAGAATAGTAATAATATTATTATTAATGATAAGGAAAATAAAGATTCAACACAGAGAATAATGTTTTTTGAGATGATGGATAAGATTTTATGGCTTGAAAGGGTCATTTTGTTCTAAATTCCATTTTTTTGAGCTGAACTGTTTGATCGTGAGGTTTTCATTGTCTTTCTCGACAACACCATTACCTCAAAATTCAGGTAAATATGAATTATGAGAATTTCTCCACAAGTGACTAACAGTTTATTTGGTTGAACTTGAGTAGAACGAACTGGTAGTCTTTTGTGAAGAAATTCTCGTAATTCACTTCTATCTGAATTTTGAGCTAATGGCATTGTCCAGAAAGACAATAGGAGATCTACGATTAAGCCGTTCATATCAAAGGACTCAATTTCAACAAAATATTATTCATCTAGAAATAATGAATTTTCGAATTTAAGATATAAAATACTGTTAAATGTACCAGTGCCATTGTGATGGATTTCCAACTATATAACTGAGTTCGAGTCTCCCTGTATATATCAGTATTGAGATGTAGGTATATCAGGCTGGCGAGTAGTAAACGTTATCGAATTAACTACTTGTATTCCATTATTAAGCAGTATTAAACTTTGATCATAAAACTTGAAAGCTGTCAAACTGGTTAATTAATTATTTCCAAATAATATTAGCATAAACTATTCTCATTAATAGCAAAATAGAAACATTTAGCAATTCACATGCAGTTATAATTTTTGTTCGAAAGTAGAAGTTTTCACTTGGGATTAACTTGTGGATTTTTCATACGATTTAAAGTTTGGCCAATCTTGATTTTAATTGACAAACTCTGATTAATACTCTGCTAGTATTTTCAGTCAATATTATAATGAATAAAAGCTGAAACTGTATACAAAAATTGGAATTTAACTGATGAATTAAAAGAAGAGAAAAACTTACTTGGAAACGAGAACGATAAATTTTCAAATATAGTAGGGTTTCGGCTAGTAGCGAAATGTAAGATGCATATTCCATCCTATTTGGGACGCGTCACTTGCATCTACCTGGATCTTAGTATTGACGTTCAGATTGGATACCTATCTCCCCAAACATCAAGCAAGTACTGAGTTCATATAATCATAGGCTTAATAAAAATTAAGTCATAAATATCAGCAACGGTAAACACTCATGTTAACTAATTACTTCGAACTAAGAGAATAAGGAAAAAATATTTTTGAAATCTTAACGGTAAGTATTATTATATTACGAAATCTAGTTTGTAATAAGGTGAGTTATTCACTCATAGAGCGATTCGATTATCAACAGACATTGATGAACATTGAATAGTTCATGTACAGATGTTTTAGTCATGTGACTTGTGAGTCATTGTTCATACATGAAAGACGGGAAAAGTAACTACCATCTGAAGTATTTCATCCCAGGAATAATAATCTGCTGTTTACTCGGTGGTCTTACAAATGATAGGAAACAAAGATATTTTTAATAGTTTGTTATAAAAAGGGCTAAAAAGACTTAATCACTTCAAAACGGTGTAAGTATTTTTCTACGATTATATTGTAACACCGATGTTTTATACAATGATAAAAGGTTTTTCAAATCCAATTCTCTCATCCACACAAATTTAGTATAATGATGAACTGTTGTAAGTAGAGATAAGTAGGAATCTTAAGATGCAAGTTTTATTCTGTTTGACACTCCTTAAGGAAGCGTTTCCATAGTTTTTATCAAATTACTGCTCTCTCAAAGATCCAGACACGTATTGACTGCTTCCGACTACCTAATATTAAACAAATTGTATAATGATTCCCTATCAGTTAACTTAATCACTGAATTTCAAACATGGTCGACAGAATTCTATTGGCATTAAGGCTTGGTCATCATGAGGTCTGCTTCTACCTAATGACTGATAAACGTAATTGTCTTTTCTATTCCTGTATTTTCTCAGAGACATTATTGACCATTTATGCTTATCAGAGTTAACCGTTTGTTTGCAGTATCGTTGTTTCAGTACAAGAATTGATCAGATTACCTTTCGTTTTTCTTTATCCAAATGAAACATAAAGATTTTTATTACAAACTGGATGTTCCTAGATTTATGATTTAGATATGAACCATTGAAGAAATTCACATTAGTTTATACAGCGTCAATGTATAGTTTGTTTACTATTATTATCTCTACTTATCTTAATAAATTATATCACTAAACAGTAAAAAGACATAACTTCTGCAACCACTGTGCATCTATCTGTCAATTTCTCCCCTTGTCTAGTTTCTATTTTAACAAGGTTACAGCATTAAGGTAGCATATCAGAT